GGAAGGAAGGTTCCAAAAAAGGTTGAGATAAAGCATTCACCAAAAATGCGCAAAGTCTATGGAGGTAAAGAATTAAATCCAGATTCACTTGGAAGATTCACATTGCGATGTTTAATGAGAGTTTCATTTGAGTTTTAAGGATCACTTGATATTCCAACACCTTCTTTGGTGATTGAAAAAAGGAATGTGACAAACACATTGGCACTGTGCAAACGCAAGGTTTCTTTTTGCAAATGTTCACTTTTGGACTTTTGGAAGATGTTCATGTGCGTTAATTTTCAGCACTGCTTCCAGCACATGGTTCTTTCCAATGTCACATGACAATGCCACAATGTGTGTCGCATTTTCGTCACTATGAACCTTTCAAATGTCTACAAGGTTCAATGCCTGGCTTGAAGCCAGCCTTTGAACCTGAAAGTTTTTTGTCCCCTCCACCAGCTCGACTGACTTCTAGGTTTTTGCCTCAGAGCCCTTTGTCTGCAGCCATGGCAAAGGATGATCCATTTGGGAAGACAATCATTCAAGATTCACTTTGACATTAGACTCACCTTCTATCTACACAGGCTCACTTTGGCATGGGCTTCAGTTTTCCCTCTGTAGACTAGAAGAATCATTTTCAGAACAGAGAATAGTAGCCAAACAATTGTACAAGAACAAAAATGTTGTTACATTTTTTGCTTGACATTTGTTTTGCCAAAACTTTTTATGTGCTTACTAGGTGTACTTTTCAGGTTGTTCCATTAAACAAACTAATAGTCAGAAAGAGCTATAAACCTATTAGTCAAAACACGTTTAAACTATTTAGTCTGTTTTCTTACCAAATAGTCTATACAACCTAATAGTTAGAAATCTGGCTAACCGAAGCTATTGGGATTAGTAGTAGTAGTAGTAGTAGTAGTAGTGGTAGTAGTGGTAGTAGTAGTGGTAGTAGTGGTAGTGGTAGTGGTGGTCGTAGTCGTAGTCGTAGTCGTAGTCGTAGTCGTAGTAGTCGTAGTCGTAGTCGTAGTGGTAGTGGTAGTGGTAGTGGTAGTGGAAGTCGTAGTCGTAGTCGTAGTAGTAGTAGTAGTAGTAGTAGTAGTAGTAGTAGTAGTAGTATGTGGATAGAAGCATGCGTAGCCCTCTAGTAGTTGCATGTGTTTCACTTTTGGCTCAAGCCGCTGAATGGTTTGAGGTTGAGCTCGGTAGGTAGCTGTAGGTAGCCGCTTAGCTCTGTTTCACCGCGTGAACGACCGCTCGGACTGAACTCGTGAGCGATAAACAGCTGCGCGTGCGCGTTTGACCGTCGACGCGGTCAAGACCGTTCGCGTCGCTCACAATTGGGGGCTGTTCTGGGAAATATCTCCTTGTTTTGGGAGAGCCCTTGCGGTCCCTAGGTTGCGGTTCGCACCTGGGACGCGGACTGGGATCGCGGGCGGAAGCTTGCGATTCGCAGCTCCGCCGCGGTAGAAAGAGACATGAACAAAGAAGTTGCCGATCAGCCTGAAGGAGTCACTCTAGGGGAATGTATCGCAGACGGACGGGTCCCGGTCCCTGAAGAGATGAGTTTCTTCAAGTGGCAAGCCTGGAGAAAGGTTGAAGGTAAACGTCCTACGCGAAGACGAGACGGGAGAGGAACGACGACCGTTGAGGAAGTGGCCTTGTGGAGGGCTACTATGGCAGACCTCTACGGCGATGACAGGGCCGAAGGTCTCAATGATGAGGAGGAGGACCCGGAGGAGGAGTCCGGCTTCGGGAAGCCCGTCGCGAGCCCTGGTTCCTGTAGTAAAGCCGGGTGTTGGCCTGGGGGGGAGAAACAGTCCCAGATCATCATCCGTGGGCACAGGCGCCGCAGAAGTAGAAGAGTTGTTGAAGCAGCTCAAGGCGTTGCACCGGCCACAAGATGAAGATATGTCCGAGTACTTGACGCGGATCACTCGTCTTGTTTTGGCTTTAAAGACGTTAGGCCACGAAGTGTCGATCACTGACCTGGCCAGGGTCAGCTTGAAGGCAGAGCTGGTCCAGGAGGCCTATGAGAGAGTTGGTGATCGTTGGGATTTCCGTGGAATGGTGCGGTACTTGAGAGAGAAGTTCACCACTGCAGCCGTCGGCACGGAAATGCCAGCTGAGAACATCACGGACCACGTGTCGGCTATTGGTGAGCTGATCATGCAGCTGGGTGGAAAAGAGAGCACTCAGAGCGGTAAGCTGTTCAGCACCCCCTCGCAGGACGAAGACCGGCCTGCGGGAGGGACGCCTCCGCGGCCGATCTCCTTAGGAGATATGAGCCGGGAGCGAATGGGTCCAAAGGATCTTGGAGGTGATTCTCCGTTGCGGGCAAAAGTGGCCGCGCTGGAGATGGAATTGGAGGCGCTTCGTCACGGATCGGAAGCATCCGACGGGCACAAGGACCTCGCTGCGGCCTTGGAAGCTCAGACGAGGGCCCTTAAGGCTGCCTTAACTGGTAAGTCACAACAGACCAGCTTGACATCGGTGAAGACTGATGTCAATTGGCCAACGCTGACTGATGATCGGTCAGAAGCCAGAGATGTAGTGCAGTTCTACGAGGAGTTCGAAGACTGCTGCTCGCTGGCAAACAACTGTAAGGGCATGAGCTACAGAGAACAGCTCATAGCTCTACGTGGCAGGTGCAAAGGAAGTAGGCTGAAGACCTACACCAACATCTACCGCTCAGCGTGGAAGAGTGGAGAAATTCTGGAAAACCCAGAAAAGGTCTATAACCGGATCAAGGAAAAGCACCTGGTGTTTGCCGAGAGCAAGGAAGAGAAGGAGGTCCGAATCGACAATGAGCACGCCTTGCTGAACAAAGGGCGGATGAGCGCTCACCAGTTCGAACCGCTTTTCGAAGCTAGCGTGTCGGAGCTGGAGTCGATTGGCTTGGGGAAGACCCCACGTGAGCTCTACTTGTCCTACCTGCGGAAGATGCCGATGCATCTGCAGAAAGAGATCAGAGGAGATAAGAGGCTCTGGAAGGGCGAAACGCTGCTTAGGAGCCCTCAGACGTGGGAAGAGGCACATAGGGTTGTTCTGGAGTTTGAACAACGAGAAGCAACCCACAGAGCAACTGCCAACGCCGTCTACTCGTATGGAGATGAAGTGGGCGGTGGCCTCTCGAAGAAAGATGCAAAAAAGGCAAAGCAAGAAGCAAGCAAGGCTGCTGCGGCCGCGGCTGCAGCTAAGGCGGCTGCCGCTAAGGCGGCTGCCGCTGCTGGTGCTGCTTCAGGTTCACAGAGCGTCCTGGCGACCAAGCAAGAAAAGATCTGCTTCCACTTCAGAGACCACGGGAACTGTCCGAAAGGCAGTTCCTGCCCATGGTCACATGACAAAGAGCTAAGAAAAAAGGTCCTTGCGGCCATGAAGACCAGCGGAGGTAAGGGGGAGAAGCCGGACCAGACCTTCGCGGCTAAGGGGCAAAAGGGGAAGCAGAAGGGAAAGGAAAAGGGCGCCGGGAAGGGCAAGGGTCAAGGGAAGGGACCGAAACCTCAAGGTACGCTTTGCCCGTTCTTCCAGAAGAATGGCGCGTGCAAGAAGGGGGCTCAGTGTGACATGGTCCACTCCTTGCCAGTCACTGGAGGAGGGAAAGGCGGAGGTAGCCAAGGAACGGGGGGTAGTTCTAGCTTGCCTACGGGGTGGAGCGCTCCTTCAGGCGCAGCGATGAACAACCCGTTCGCCGCGTTTTCAGTTGTGATCGGAGGTGTGGTAGGGTCCGCGGGGGCTGTTTCTCGTTTCGAGAGCGGCGCCGCGACTCAGCCGCCCCAAGTGCTCAGTTTGGAGCAGCCTTCGAATCCTGCGGACGGGAAGTCGCGGTTCACTTCACTTGATGATTTGCCCAAGGATTGGTTCCACTTGGCCGAGAACGAACCAGGTGGATACCAATACAAAACAGTTGT